CTTAACATAATAAATTAAAATGATCAAGCTATATTGTCCACACATTTTAAATATTCAGGGAATTCTTGAAGTTTTTCTAGAATCACCTTGACCTCTTCTATATCTGCATCAGATAATTCTACAAAGTATGTAGGTAGGTCTTCTACTTCACTTTCCAAAATATCCCATTGGTTTTCACTTAAGTATTTGTTCATTTGCACTATGCCTTTTGGATCTGTAAGGAACTGAAGCATTGATGGTAAGATATAAAATCTACACATTTTTCTTCGGATAAAAATGAATTACAATAATGTTCTGATCCTTACCCTGTAGGTTTGCTCTTCTCCTTCTTCAGGTCTCACCTCTTCAGCACCACCTACAATTGCAGCCTCTTCAGCATCATCGATTGTTGCTTGCTTAGTTGGAGGTTTGGCGATGATTACACCTTTCTTTTCAAATGCCTGACTAAATCCGGGTGTGACTTGGAATCTAAACAGCCAACACAAAATCAAAAATTAATATATTATTGGATGAAAAAGAGATGGACTTCAAACATGAGCAATAACACATACACAGATTTTTTCAATATTTTCTTGATTTGATTTCTGAGTTCATTCTCAGTAACACTTGAGCAAACATATGTGATATTAACTATACATTCATTTGGACCCCTCAATCGAAATTCAATTGGATGTTCTTTGACTGTCTGTGGGAAGAAAAAGGAAAACATGAACTACAATACGTGAAATGCAACAAAGGTACAGACATGGCAATCGGTAGATATAAAAATACCTTAATTTTCTTTAAATAATTGTCTATAGTATCCTTTGGAACATTTGCTCGCCGGGCTGATTCAATAGCTCTTGCTAAAGAGGGACTTGAATTTGGATCTGTATTCCAACCATTGCCTGTAAAACAACATTTTTTCTTTTTGGAAAGAGATCGGACTCTGTGACGCGTTTCCAATGGTTGTACTAACAAAAGGACAACACTGTTGCCCCTATCTCCACCACGCCTTACAGCCAGTGGATGTGCTGTTCTTTTGCCAGACAGACCATACATATAATAATAGTAATAAATAAACAATGATAGAAAAATCTATTACCTGCCAGAACAATCTTAATGTTTCGCAGCTTTTGAAGATACATAGCAGCTTTTTGATTATCTTTGAGACCCTTAGTGTGTTTAATATTTTGCCATTTGCTGTGGCCTGCCGAACGTTTTATATAATGCAAAGTCGATGGAATGACACCGACTCTGCGAAGTAAATTTGCACAAAACATGGCAATATCTCAAGCAGTAGACTGTCGTTGGAAAAGTGTCTAACCTATCAACCACTCATTACACCACTACCAACACTAAATCGTTCAGAACTCCGTACGGTGTACGGTAACATAAAAGTTGAAGATGAATTTAAAACCAAGAAGCTTATTTTAAAAACATTTTTTTGGGGGGTGGGTAGGCAGTGTTTAATTCAGTTTTAAGTAAATAAGTTTGGAACGTTAAAAACTTTTCATTTATAAGATGTACATCTGACTGCAAATAAAGGTTTTTTTTATAGAGGGGAGAAGGAGGAAGGAGGAGGGAAGAGGAGGAGGGGGTGAGGAGGGAAACATGTCTGCTGCACAGCTCTGCTGCGCCATGAAATTATCTAAAATTTAAGTAATATTGGAGGTAGAATGGTTTCATTTATCATCATTAAGTAACAGATTCTCCATGAGGCCCCCTCGTGAAATGGGGAGCTATCCAATACACGTAAGTAACACTAGGGTCCTTCAAGTGAACCGATCAATTTCTTCCTCACACTTTGCTTGTTTTACATAACTTACTTGCATATTGTATCTCCTTGAAACTTTTCAGAGGAAGCTACCCTTTCAGTTACCACTCACGTCTATTGTCTGATGTCTTTTTGAAAGCAATGGCCCCATTTAATTACGCCCGAACAAATACCTTTCAGTGTTGGTTATGTTGATAATCATTGTAGAAATAAACTTAAATGAAAGTCTAGTTTGATTGATTCGGTCAGATACTACCTTTGTCACTCAATTTTTCTAGTGTTATTTTATTCTATTGAGGCTGTGTTGTATTCTGTTCTAGATGGCATCTCATGAACTACTGTACCCAACAGAGATGGCTATTACAAATACTGGAACCTCTATCTGCCACAGACTTTCAAAACTTTTCAGTATAAACAGGAAACTTTTTATTTTCATATTGGTCTTACTTGCATTGTTTTATATTCCTGCGTATCACCAATTAGCTCAACCTCAAAGTCATGATGGTAAGAATTCTGTCAATTTTCTTAAATCCCCCAACATGAAGGTTGGTTACTTGTGTATTATATGCAGTGTTCTATGTCTTACAGAGGAACTAGATGGCTGGCCAAGAAATGGCACACGAGAGGTTCGTTTGTTTATTCAACCAGACAATGTTACCACAATAATATCTCCAAATTTCTGTGAAGGAAAGCAACCATTTCTTTTGGTTGTTGTTTGCTCTGCCGTTCACAACTCAGAAGCTCGCAAAGCAATCCGGGAAACATGGGCATCCAGTACCAGTTCTTTGAGAGAAAACAACAGAAGCAATGAAGTAGTTCCTCACCCTCTCAAAGAAGTTTTTGTGGTTTTTCTATTGGGAGACCCAGATAACTCCACTCTTCAGTCAGTAGTGGAGGAGGAAAGCCGAAGATTTGGTGACATTGTGCAAGAAGGGTTTATTGATTCATACAACAATTTGACTGTTAAATCTGTCATGCTGTTGAAGTGGGTAACACAAAGATGCAGCAGTGCTCTTTACGTAATGAAAACAGATGATGATACGATGGTGAACTTACAATCACTCCAGCTATTTTTAAAATCACATCAGTCATCATTAGTAAAGCCCCGAACCAAGAAAGTGCCTCTTTTAGTTGGAAATTTAATATGTGGAGCAAGGCCAATCCTTGATTCAACCCACAAATGGTAAGTTTTTTTTTTTGTTTTTGCTAATGTTATTGTTATTATGGTTATCATTTAGTTGCCACTGTAATACCATTCTTTTCTTTTTTTTTTGTAGGTACATGCCCAGGTACATTTTTCCAGGGCGAACATACCCCAATTATTTGTCAGGCTCTGGCTATGTCATGTCACAAGAAGTTGTTCAGGCCTTATATGAAGCATCACAAAAAGTGTCACTCATACCCCTCGAAGATGTTTACATAACTGGTCAATGCGCAGTGTATTCTGGAATAAGGCCTTCTGGTCATCCTGGATTCAGTTTGGGCAAAAGACCCATGTCTACATGTTCTCTAGGAAACCCACAGGTAAGACTATTCTATGTCCTTTCCTCTATGTTAGTTAACTTTGCTCTTTTACAAGTCGTTTCTCTTTCTTTTACTTTAGGTTATTACAACTCACAGACTTAATCCAAAGGAACTACGAGAAGCATGGGATTTGTCACGCATGTCAACATTACTTTGCAATAAAACAGTGCCGTCTTCTACCCCAGCTGCTGCACCTCAGTCATTTTTGAGGGGTTCTATGTTTGGAAGGAAACAACGTCACATTTTTAATTCCCGACGTAATGGTCTTGGATGTTATTAGGAACAAGTCATTACCTTTTCGTTTTGATATGAAGTATTTCCTTGTTGCCTTTCCAATCACTATTAGGTATGCATACCTAGTACTGGTAGTTTCAAGGGTAGTTCTGTTATCTTAAATATGCACTTTGCTCAGTTTTGAGAATGTGGGACACTGTGCCTTTGTTCCAACAAAAATGAAAACATTTGAGTGATTTTAACCATGCAGAATTTGTCTTTGAGCTTTGTTTAAAGCTTCCAAGCCTGTGGCAATTCTGGAACAATGCCAGTGGTTCTTCTTTCTCAATTACTACTCAAAGCATATTGTTCTATTCACAACATTCAGTTGTTGTCTTGTTATCTACTTGTATGGTCAGTAACCGTCCACATTTTCCCTCACCCTGCCTAAGCCATCCTTTTAAGGATGTTATTGAAACTAATTTTGATTAACTACCTAGTTAAACTTTGAGAATTTGGGTCTGCAACCCGCTAATACAATTTTTTATATTGGTTCTTGCTATTTTCAGAATATGCTCTGTATGTATGTTGTAGGAAAGTAGCTCAATCTTAAAAAGAATTTGATTCATAGTATATTTTTGATCTGATGTTACCTTTGAGAATTGCCTTACTTTTTAGATAGATATTCTGTGGTAATGATTGTTATCTTTTTTTTGACTGGAGAGGAATATTTTCCAATTTTTTTATCTGTAGAATTGAAATGAACTGCTCGTGGTTTGACCTTCGTATACTGTGAGAGTGAGATTTCTCATCATTTGTGTGTTTTAATTAGTTTGCATTATGATATGCTTTATAGAGCACTAAGATAATTTACCAGTATATTTGCAATATGATCAACTTCATAGGATATCCAATGATTTGTCCATCCTTATTTGTTATGCTTTTTACATTGACTTTTAAGGGGACTCGATCTAGTAGGCATATTAGATCTGTTTTTAAATCTAACATTAGTCTGCATCTTTGATCTGTATTTAAATTTAATTCTGTGATTTCTGCCTCCATGTTAATTTGGTTGTCTCATATTTCTACAATTTTTGATTTTTATTTATAATTGATATTACCTGTTACAATTTTTAGCTGTTTCTTGTTGTGCAATATTGCTTAGTTTTCCATTATCCCTTAAAATGTTGTTTGTAAACTGTTATTTTTATTTAAATTCTTTTAAGGTTAGTGTGCTTTTTGGCTGCTTTTCTAGTACGTAATCTGTTGCTAATCAAAGCCACCTAGGCATTCGAACAAAAGTTAGTGTGATGATTGCATTTTCACATTGTTGTAACATTTCCTTTGTTTTGTGTGGTTATTTTAATGTATTTAGTATTCTGCATTGTAACAAAATGCCACTGTGTGGCGTGAGAGATTTTTTTTCTTTCTTTTTTTGCTGTACAACTAATATTACTTGCCATGAAATTCTGCAGGTTTAGTGTCGGAATTTGGCAATGCCTCTTAATCTAGTCTTTAAATCAGTATTTCTTACCTGCTTTTTGAAGATCAATGTGCATTACTGTTCCTTTTTTGTTTCTGATTAATGGTTCTAAACTTCTACTACTGTGAATACAACTCTCAGGTAACAGTAAAATTTCCTGTATTGCTTTATGCAAACATTCTTCCATGGAAATGTGATTATTGCTGATGGTAATTCCATGTCTTTCTTTCTATTCTACGCACAATCATTCATTAGCTTGCTGCATATCATAAGAGCCAGGGAAGCTTATGGAACTGTCCAGTGTAATCAGTAATTTCATAGTTTTCTGTTTGGGGAAAGTGACCTTTTTATGTTATGAAACAAACATACTGGTTGAGGAGTTTGTATGCTGATGACCAAATGGTAATGTTATGCCAAGAGTGCAGGAATGTGTGGGCTTTTAAGTGTTTTTCTAAATTTAATACTTCCTTTTTGATTGTAAAACAATTATTTTTAGTTTTGGGAGGTCTTCCACTTCAAATTATTTAGGTGAAACTTTCCTTTCTTGCTTGCCCGCGAAGATTTTTTCAGATCGTTCTATTTGGGGATGTGTGAGTGTACATGTGGTATAGTTGTATGTAGTTATCTTCGATGTTTGTTGGAATCTCCTTTTTATATTGAGCAGTAGGTGTTAAGACATCTCACAATCATGAGAGTATAGGCTGAACCCGAATTTTCCTTCTTTGAAAGCTGATCAGAAAGTTTCTCACTGCGTCTTACAGCCTTAAATGTATTAGTATACAATATGTCAAGTCATGCAGTTTGCTCATTTACAAAATACTCCAGCGAACCTATTTTTCTAGGAAATGAGCTGTACTGATGTGTGTAGATCTGTGATATTCTTTGGCCATACTGCAAGGTAGATGTAATCCTAGTCATGGCTTAAACTAAACTGCAAATTAAAAAAAAAAAATAACTTGAATTTAAATAATGCACTTGTCCTAGCTGTGAATTTTTAGGTACAAAGGTTCCTTGGTTGCTCTTGTTAAAAACCACAACTTCCTTCTTTACTTTAGTGAAGTGTGACTGCTTATTGTACTGTGTGGAACCTTTTTCTTGCTTTCATCCATTTTATGTAAATTTGTTCCCTTGTTACAATGGTAGATTTTGTTAATGTCTGGCTATTGAAAAACAAATATGTTACAGTGACAGAAAATATCAAGGTTTGGATGACAAAGTTGAATCATATCTTAAAATATGGTGCCTATTGTCATGGTCATGGTATGTATTATGTTTTTCCTTTGCCTTCTCTGACTTTTGGTACTGTCTCAAGTTGATACTAACAGATAAGAGTATAACCATGTTACTGATCTAATGTGCAATATTCAATTGCTGTCTCTTACATATAATTGATATCATAGTCTGCTGTGTTTAACCTTTCAGGAAAACAAAGTAGTACATACTTATCAGCAAAATTTTGGTGCATGTTGTGTTTCAACCCAGGTCTAAAAAATTTGTGTCTGCGTTTTGGTTCATTAGGATTTATGCTTCATTATCTTGTGGCTTGCCCTCTTAAGTACATCTAACTTGGCCACATATGTAAACTTTTATTCTCTGTTGATTAGAACAAATTGCAGGTATGGTAGATAAATTATGTTTTTCATTCCTTCTTAATCTTTTTCATACTTGTGAATGCCAAAGCTTACTTGATAGACAGTAATTTATGGAGAAGGTGTTAAATGATGAGCTGGAGTTTAACTATCTTCAATTTTGAACTCCTTCAGGGACTTTTTTGCCAAGCATAATGGGAAGATGTTACACTGTTTTTCCAGAATTTAATCATCATTTGGAAAAAAATGACCTGACAAAGTAAAAATTCAAAGAAAGTTCTAAAGGGAATTAAACTCCAGCTCATTATTTTACATCTTTTTCAAACTACCTTACTTGGCTTTGCCACTTACAAATAAATGAAGGGGAATGAAAAGGAACGATTGTCCTATTTGACCGTCCCTGCAAAGTTGTACAAAGCCCTCCGAATTATATTACAAAAATCAAGTGTTTGTATTGATGTATTCCTCTCTCGGACAGTAGTTTGTCACCATTGTGAAATCTAACTAATAAATTTCAATGAAGAAAAACTTTCAAAATTATTTGCGCATTTTATCTGTATGTTGAAGGTTTTTGGTTCATTCTTGATTTTCCAGTTTTAACTGCAGTACTTATTAGTAGAATGCAGTCTTCATGTGACTTTGCAGACAGTTGATAATACTATTTCTGATTGATGTTCACTGCATGTATGGTTGATTTTGTAGAAAGGTGTAACATTGGCATTCTTTCAGGCATGTTAACATAACAGACTAACAGCCAGAAGGGCCTAAATAACTTCGGCATGGACATGTCATCAACATTCTGCACATGGCTTATGTGCTTATGCGCCTTGGATATTATTTTAGCGTTTTAAAACAACCATGTTAAAGCTGGAAGGCTTTTGTAAACTAAATAACATGTATGGTGTTAATGCTGATGTAATTTGACTGTGATGGTTTTGTGCTAGGTGGTTATGATGTGGAGTGTATCTAAGCTCCATGTCTCTGATGGTTTTGTGAGCAATGAATGTTTTTTCAAAAAATATTTATCAAGAACTTCCTTAGCGTTATTATTTAAGAAAACCTTTCAACAATCACGACTTGCCCAAGAACAAAATTGCCAAGCAAATAACGAACTAACTTATCATGAACTCGTACGCTTGTTTCGCTTGCGCTGAGAGTAAGCACTACTACACTACACTGCACTTCACCAAACGCGGGCCCCTGAGCAGCATCAGAACCGAGCCGTGCAAAGGACACCTTTTTCATTGCGAATCAGAGCAACAGCCAAGCCGCCCAGCCTGCTGGCGCTGGCCTGCCGCGCGCTGCTTCCCGGAGAGGGGGGGGGGGCGCAGAAGAACTCAAGCAGTCGCTTTAGGGGAGAACGGAAGGGGAAGGGGGGGACGCGACGCCGACTGTGGAAGCAGCCAATCGGGGCGGCCACCGCCCCTCCACGGACTTCCCCTCCCGCCGCGCTCGGAACCGTGGAGGGGAGGTGCGGTAGCTCCGCCCCACGCTCTGCTCCGCAGCCGCGCCGGCCGCGCTGCGCCCCGGCTCCGTGCGCCCCGCGGACCGACCAGTGCTGCCGCTCGCCGCCGCCTTTAGGCGCTGCCGCTCCGAGCGCTCCGCTGGCTCCGCTGCGCCCCGCTGCGCCGCTGTGCGCGCTCCGCCGCGCTCCAGCCCGAGGCAGCCAGCAGTTGAGCCCGCGACTCGTGCAGGCACTCGTCCGATGGAGCGGCTGCGGCGCTAGCGCGCTAGCGGCTTGCCACGGCTCGGGCCCGGGCTGAGGCTGTGCTCCGGTACCGGCGGCGGGCCGGCTCGCCCCTGGGCTCGCCAGGCGTTAGGCCCCACCGGCACCATGGCGTCGTCCTGCCTCCTCAACTTCGCCCGCTACCCCCCGCAGCCGCAGGGGGCGGCGCACCCCCATCCCCCGGGCGGGGCGCACCCCGGGGCGTCGCCGCAGGGGTCGCCGCAGTCCCCCGTGGACGTGATCGCCGAGGACGACGACGACGACGAGGTGCTGAGCGTGGGCTCGGAGCCCCGCGCGCCTGACAGCGCCCCCGGCAGCCCGCGGAGCCCACCGCGGAGCCCCTCGCGAAGCCTCTCCAGGTGCACGCGCAGCCCGCGCAGCCCCGGCGGCCTCGACGAGTGTTGTGACTTACCCGGCATGATGCCCGTGCCCTGTGTGCCCACCATCGGCGCCCTTAAGTTCAGCATTGCCAACATCCTAAGGCCCGAGTTCGGCGCGGGCCGCCCCTCCAGTGGTAGCAGGACGCCCTGCCGGACTGCGGGGCCGCCCCCCTCCACCCCTGCCTCGGCGCTGCCCCCTGCCCCCATAGACTTGTCGAGGGTGTCGTCCACTCCTGTGCAGCCACCCCCGCCTCCCCCCTCCGTGGCCTCCGTGGCCTCATCGTCCTCGTCTTCCTCGTCGTCCACGGACAACGGCTCTTCGTCGTCCTCCGCGGATCCGCTGCTTTGGCCTGCCTGGGTGTACTGCACGCGGTACTCGGATCGACCGTCCTCTGGTGAGTACCGCAGCGCGGTCTGTGCTTGCGAACCCCCGACCTGTACGTGTACGCATGACTAATTTAGACTAACGGCTATGCCTCGCGGAGAACTAAACGCATGTCGGAACAACGAAGCTTCGCTGAAGAGAGTTCAACAAGGGGTTAACTGAAATGTCAGCCTGTCGTCAATGGCCGCAGTTGTCAGCGAGCGAATGATTTTCCTTCTCCTTCATCTTTTAGCGAATCTGTAATAAGATTATTGTCAATTTTCATTTTTGTACATTGTGACTGTATGCTTCTCTGAAACAACCCTGGGAACTGCATGAGATATTTTTACGGTCGCATGTCCAAAAAGCCTTGAAATACTACGGGCCCTATTTTAAAATTTTACAGCAATCTTCAGAATCTTGCAATCTTGTAAGGCTTCCTCTTTTGAGGGTGTTCCATAGACCCCGTCCTTTGTTTTACTTATACTATACCGCGCGTGGGCGGGCTTTGCCTAACGTCGTGTCGCTCACCGTGGGAGCGAGTAGGCAACCCGTCCACACCCGTGAATGCGGTACAGTATAAGCAAAACCACCCAATACGCTGGGGTATCTCTTGTTTGCGGCACCCCGTCAGAAAAAAAGAAATAGTTTGTATGGTCTCACTAATCATTTTTATCATAATCACAAGCTTCGCCGTTGTAATGGGCCCGCCGTACTTTATTCCTGGCTACTGTGCCGCATGTAGAGGGGTTCCCTACCGTCGTCGCTCACCTCAACATGGCAACTTCAGGCCCCCCAGTAGTCAACTGGCGATCCGCCCACAAGCGTGCACGCGGTACCGTGTAACTGAAACAAAGTTCGTGGCCTGTACGGTGTACACCTCGTCACTACCCTTTCCGCCGTCCCTGTAGGGGGTGTGGGTGTTTACAGCACTCACCCCCGCCTCGCGGCCGCGTCGTCGTCGGCCCTCCCTGGCGGCGGTTCCCTCGCGGTCAGCGCGGAAATAAAAATCACCCGGGCACAGGCCGGGCCGGGCCAGCAGCGCCAGGGACTACTTGGCGTCCAAACGAGATCTCATTAACAGAGCGATAAATACGAGAGAGACTCATTACTCGGTCGTCCTCGCAGCTCGGCGGCGGCCGGGGCCGGGGCCGGGCCGGGGCGGCGCGCGTGCATTTCAGCGCAATAAACGCTTCCTTTGAGGAGACGGACGGTCGAGGGGTTTGCCAACGCGGTCGTCTCGCGGCCGGCGCGGCACTCCATCTCACTAGTACCGCCGCCCGGCTCGCTGCCCGTCGGCGTCGGCGACACCCTGTACGTGTCGCGCTAGTCGCGGTGCCTGTGTCTGTAGTTATAAGGTGAACCCTAGACGGCGACGCGGTCTTCAAACCAAACACCTCGATGCTGTTGCGTTGCAGCAAGGGGGGGGGGGGGACGGACCCCTTGACGCTGCGCCGACGTAAGCATTCCCAGAGCCACATGCATGTATTGAGAACAACTTTTATTTCTATTTCGAAAACGTTGCGAGCTGGATGATTTGCACACACACACACACACACACACACAGAGTCAGGGAAGTTTCCATTTCGGGTAGCTGAAGCGGCGGGGATAACCCTTTGAGTGTACCGGGCCCACCGGGCCGCGTCGCGTCGCCATGGGAGCGCTGTCCTCGCCCCCGGCCCGGCCAGGCCAGGCTCAGGGGGTGACGGGGCGTCGCCGTCGTCGTGCGGCTACATAATTTAATGCGATTGCATTATTTCCGCTTGGATTATGAGAAATTAATCGGCAACCATCGTGAATTGTGTACACACACACACGCACATACACACGGTGAAAGGGTTAAGGGGAAATGGAGGGAGGGGTGGGGAGGAGTACGTGGAGAACAAGGGAGGAGCAGTGCTCTCTGCGCACCGCGCGGGCAGCCTTCCCACACCACACACCTACCTATGGGCGGCAGACGGGGCTGGCAGGCGCGTCGTGCTGAAGTATATGGTGCCCCCTCTCCTTCCCCTCCTCGCCCTCCTCCACATACTACAGTGTGGTGTTGGCGAGGCCGGATGTTCCAGTGCAGCCCGGCTGGCCGTTGGCCGAGGGCGCAGAGCTCACAGGGCGGTGCTGGTGGGCCGGCGGCGGCGGGGCGCTGCGGAGCCGGGGCTCGGCTTGGCCCCCGCAGGGCTGGCAACCACAACGCACCGCTGCGCTGCGGCTGCCGCTGCCGCACGGGGCTCGCGGGCGGACGACGCACGGGCGGCCGGAGGGAGGGCGGGGACTCCGGGACGCGATCGGAAATAGGAAGTGTCTACAAAAAAGTGCAATATCAATCAATTACGGGCAGCATATCTACTATCGATAACTCTGCTGCGTAATGGTGGTGAGCGCCCTTCCTCCCTCCCTCTCCCCCTCTCTCTATCTCCACCGATGGAGCACCGTGGCGTGGCAGCAGGGGGGTGGCAGCGGGCGGTTGGCCGCGGTGGCCCCGCCCAATACATCCCTCCCTCCCTCCCTCCCTCTCTCTCGCCCTGACGCTGATCATTGATTGTAAGGCTCGCCACGAGTAAGCAGCAGCAACAGAGCAGAGTAGCAGAGCAGCAAGAGAGCAGTTGCAGAGGAGCAGCAGCGCACTCACGTGACCGCATATATCGACCACACACGTGTCCTCCTGCCAGGGGTGTTAGAGAGGGCCTCTGTCTTCCCACTCACTCTCGCACCAGTCTCCCCCTTCCTCTCTATTCTCGCCCTCTCGCCCTCTCGCTCTCCGCCACCCGCCTCCCTCCTCTCTCACACACACCTCGCTCACACCCTCTCTTCGGACGCCCGCGACGAGAGACGGGCGACCGACAGGCGCTCATTCGACGACACGGCGGACAACGTACACACAAACGTCGTGGAAAGGGCGCCCTTCTTAGTTCTTCCCCTCCCGGTTACATAAAAGGGTTGCGCTGCTTGTCCATCTGTTTGTTTGTCGTGCCTGAGAAGGGCGCGCGCTGCGCGGGCAGGAAGGGCCCGGAGGGGCGGGGCGGAGCGGGGCGGGGCGGGGGAGCGTAATAGAAATTGAGGAAGTTAATCATACCGGGACAACGAGGCGGCAACAAGTTGCGTCCCTTTGACAGATGGCATCTCGTGGTGTGGTCGCACACACAACACACAGGTGCTCGCCGAGGAGGGCAGGGCGCGCGCGTAGGCGGGCGGGCGGGCGGGCAGGCCCCGGGCCGGGCCCCGGCGGACAGACGGACCGACACAGTTGTTTGATTGATATCATGTTGTTGGTCGTGCTGTCGGGCAGACAACGGAGCCGACACCAAGCGCCAAACTGCTTTGGGATCCCTCCGCGATGCCGCCGGGATCGGGATGCTCCGCCCACGTGGCCGATAGGCGCGCTTCCTCTCCAGTGTCCCGCGCGCCCACGGCCGCTCCCGCTCGCACGGCGGCAGTCCCTGTGAAGGCCCCGAGGCCGAACCGACCGGAATCAGGACGAACGATAAGTAGCAGTGCTGCCCAGCGCGCATAAACATTTTGCTATACGCCGCGGAATATGTCATTGCCGGCGAGCAAAAGGCACCACTGCAAGTAAAGTGGTCGGATCCAATAAGCTGCCGCAGCCGGGTATACCGGCTTCCATAGGCCGGGACATCATGCACACAGCAGCGGTTCCCAGGGCCGCCGCACTGCCCCGCACTGCTCGCCGGGTGGCTAGAGCCTCGCGGGGATCGGCTTGACTTGCGGTATAGGCCTTCCATACCCGCCCCCGTGTAGTTATTGCTATTGGCATGGCTATTGACGACTCGGATAGACTAGAGCTTTATGCCGCGTGTAACGTTACGGGGCGTCTGCGTGTATAACGCTATATACGTGAAACGCTAACGACGCGCCGGTAATAGGCCGCGGCCGTGACGCGGCTCCGCGGCGGCGGCGGTCTCTCTCTTGCTCTTGTCGCCCTTTCTACCCGCCCCCTCCCCCGCCTCTCTGACTCTCTCTCTCTCTCTCTCTCTCTCGCTGTGCACGTCTTTCTCTCACTCACTCGAAGTCAAGCAAAAGCGACGTGGAGTGGAACGGCTTCTGTTGATTTCTTTCGATCTGTGTTGATCAGCTTGGAAATGGATGCGAGATTACATCTTTATGAGCTCCGCCGAGGCGGGTGGCCGTCGTGCCGCGCAGCTGGGAAGAGGGGAAAGAGGAGGAGGGGGAGGGAGACCGGGGGGCACCCCAGACACCGCACACCTCCGGAGTGCATAAAGTTCATCCTCGCTTCAAAAGTATTCCAGAAAAAGAAGACGACGACGAGTTTTGCCGTCAAATAGGAGGCAAATGGCCCGACGTCGTCGTGGCGTGGCACGGCGCAGAGCGGTGGCGGTA